TCTAGATGGGTCTGGTGAAAAGAGATGAGGATAAAATTCTTATGATTTAATAGTGAGTAATTATTATCATGACTATCTGTGACTGTCACAATTGTAAAGGTAGAAGTTTTTTTAACAAAAATGAGGGAGTAGTTAATGTTACAGTCCAGAAACAGAGGACCCTAGGACCATCAAGGGAGAAGAGCACAAGGAGAATGTGGGACCAGAGATGGAGGCAGAGATGGGGACATGGAGGAAGGGAGCAGCTGAGGACTCTTAAATTCATGGAATTAATGTGAATGAGAGCTTGTGGCCAGGAGGCAGACTTGCAGAATGTGCCGTTTGATGGTTTAGATTATTATATATGCCTAAGTGTTTTTAAAAAATAAAACTAAAATGAATAGAGAGAAATAACTGTTAACTGTGTTAACTGATGGTACATGGAGGGGATTTTAATCATTGTAATGAAACAAAGTATATGATTTGTTGAATGTAAAACTGATGATCTTCCCTGTAAACTTTCATTCAATTCACAATTTGAAAAAAAAAAAGGCACTGTTCAATGTTTTTTGTTTTAGAGATACAGTTGAGCTAGCTCAACTTCATAAGTATGGTCCAGGAATGAGATAGATGCCAAACTGTAAGAATTCACATCATTTTTTTTAAAAAAGCTTTTTTATTATAAATTGAGTGAAAGTTTACAGACAAGATCATCAGCTTTACATTCAGCAAATCATACGCTTTGTTTTATCTCAAGGATTACAATCTCCTCCATGCAATAAGAGTTACCTTGCTTCCTCCCTGTGGTTCCCACCTACACTCTACCCCCCCTTACTATTCCTTCTCAACTTTTAACTTTAGGAAAATATTGCCATTTTGATTCTGAATGATTGACCATTCCATGGTGAGCATACCTTGCCAGTGTTGTCTCCCCACAACCACCCCTCAAACCCATCTACTGCTTATCTGAAAATTGGACCACAAGGGTCAGTTCCTCTCCAGACCTGAAGGATAATCAATGACCATAGTCTCAAGTTCCTCTAGTCTCTTTCTGACCTATAAACCCAGTTTTTTGTTTGTTTTTAAAATAATTCTATGTTTGGTTCTACATTTTCTCCCACTCTGTCTGCAACCCACTAATGTAATCCCTTTCAGAGCAGTTGGTAGTGGTAGCTGGGCACTGTCTAGATTTTTTGGTCTCAGAGTTGTGGAGACTGATGTTCACATACATGTTCCATTAGTCCACTGGACTCATTGAGTCCAAACCTTTTCAATTCTTATCGCTCTTCTTTCTTCTGCACATGGAGAGACCAATAGCTTCACCTTAGACAGCCACTCATGAGCTTTCAAAATCCCATAAACTACTCACACAAGCAGGATGTAAAACGTTGTCTTTGTGGACTATGTTATATCAGTTGCCCCTAGTATCCCCAGAGACCATAGTCCTGAGCCCCCAAGCCCATCAACTCATTGCCTTAAGACGTATGATAACGTATAGGAAATTTTCATCATTTTGCTAACTGAATGCTCCACCACATTCATAGTTGTCTTTGCAGGAAGGGTAAATACTCAGTACAAATATCTTCTTTGAAATTTTATATATTTGAAGGATATATCAATTTATATATGCGTCCTCTCCTTTCTTGCATATTACCCTCCTCTGAGCTAACAACCTGAGTCTACCTTATAGTCAGTGAATTACTTTCCCCTCCCTTCCACCCCTATATTCCACCTGAATTTAGAGATCATCTAAAGAACAGATTTGATACATTAAACACCAAAGACC